AGGGTTATCTCTTACAGGTTGTGAGAATAGAGAAAATACTGCAATCAGGAATAGCCCAGGTTGCCGAACCTTATCTCAAAGCTGGCAAGGATCCAAAGCTAGGCCAAAAAGTCTATAAAGCGGCGAAGAGCTATGCGCAACACATTGGACATTACCGGCAGCCTTTTGCCTGGGCAGCAAGACCACTCTTCAAGCAATACAGTCACGAATTGGATGTTGATCCCAAGAGAGAGTTTGAGTTCAGTCCCATTTATCGCCAGGAGATACCCAAACTGAAAGATGAGGAACTTCTTAAGCTTTTGGTCGATTATCGCAAGCCCGAAAAACTGAGCAAACTTACAATTATTCCTGGCAGCCTTAAGATGCAGATGCAGTTCCTGGACCAAACCACACCTTGCGGCTTAAGCAAATCACTGGCGCCTTTGTCCACATTTAGTCCATCTTCCAAGCAACCGCCTACTGTAGAAGTGGCCGAATTCCAAAGCCACAGTGAACGGGATGCACACCCTTATACCAGTTTCTGTAACCACCTCTATGTGTATCCACTGAGCTTGCAATTCGACAGCCAGAAATTGTTCTCAAGAGCCAGGAATATCACCGTCGTGGTGGAGCTACGGGATGGCGATGGGGAGTACAGCAAACCCTTAAAGGTACGGTTTATAAAATATATAAAAGTATGAATATATAAATAAATTTTGATTGCAGTGCATATATGGCCGCCCTGGCCAGGATCTATTAGTGTCCCAGATTGCCTGCCCGGTGCTGCATCACAATGTGACACCCACCTGGTACGAGGAAATCAAGCTACGTCTTCCGCTGGGACTATTTCCGGAACACCACCTGCTCTTTTCGTTTTACCACGTGTCCTGTAATCTTAGCAAGAAGAGGGATGCGCATTCGGCGTTTGAAACACCTATTGGTTATGCCTGGTTGCCATTGCTCCAGAAGAATCGTATATGCCTGGAGGAACAACAACTTCCGGTGGCTTCCACTTTGCCAGTCGGCTATCTTTCCATCCAACCCTTGGGATGGGGCAAAGGGGTAAGTTGTGTACGTTGTGTGCTGCGCAAAGTCAACTCAACTCATGAAACGTTTGTATTGTCTCTTACCCAACATACTTCACGCCCATCCATTCATTCCTTGGCTTGCCAACTAACCTGTGCTCTTTTTCTGTGTTCTCTTTCTCCGCACTGATCTGCATGCTAACTGCACCACCAACCACCCACTATCCACCCCAACCTTGGCTGCCTACAAACCCTTCCAATTTCTCAGCAGAACTGCGGTCCGGATATCCAGTGGATCGACAATCAGAGGAATTTGTATACGGTGGGATTGCGTCTGGATTCCACGGTTCTGACTGCCGATCAGCACTTGCACAACTTTTTTGGACACTGTGAAAGGTTGCTGGAGGGAGGCAAAACTGGGGCGGTGCCAGCGGAAACGGAAACCTGCAAGATCTTGAAAGCTGCCCACGCAATTGATATGAAATCCTTGATTAACTACTTACCGACGTTCCTCAATGAGCTGTTTACGCTGCTAGTTCACACTCAATCCGAAGAAATCGGTTTGAATGTAATCCGCTTGATTACAAACATCATCCATTTGATCAGTGACCAGGCGAAAAGATCTGATCTTTTGGCAGCCTACGTGAAATACGTATTTCACGCACCCTACTACAGCCAACAAACTGCTAGGCAAAGGACGGTACATGGAGAACTCTGCAGGCATTTGCCCTATCTCCTAAATCCCAGCAATCCCGATTTCCTCATCGTTAACAAGTTCATGAGGTACTCGTCGATTTTCTTCGATCTGATTATAAAAAGTATGGCTCAGCACTTGTTGGCCACCGGTAGGATTCGCATGCTGCGCAACGAACGGTTTCCCAAGGAATATGCCGATCGTGTGGAACAATTGATAAAGGCACTAATGCCCTACATAACAACTCGATTTGAGGACTTAAGTGAGGAAACTCATTTGCTTAATCGATCTTTGGCCAAGTTTGTTCGCCAGTGTCTGAGTTACATGGACAGAGGATTTGTTTTTCGTATGATTCGTTGTTATATGGGAGAATTTTCGCCTGGTAATCCGCGGATACTTCACGAATACAAGTTCAACTTTCTGCAGGAAATCTGCCAGCATGAGCATTATGTGCCACTTAATCTGCCATTTGTTTTGAACCCAAAGAACAGACCACCCGAGATGATGCAGCACTTCACTCTTTCCGAACAATTCTGTAGGCAACATTTTCTGTCCGGACTACTACTTCAGGAATTGAAAAGTAGCCTGAATGAAGTGGGCCATGTGAGGCGACACGCGCTGGGCATTTTCAAAGATCTCTTGGCCAAGCACGAGCTGGATAACCGATATCAGCAGAAGGGTCAGCTCTCGAGGATTGCCCTGCTCTATGTTCCATGGTTGGGCGTCGTGATGGACAACATACATCGGATTGATGATTTATCGGAGTCTGGCGCTTGTACGCCCAATGGGCACGTTTATGCGGACTCCGCTTCCTATACTAAGCGCTTGAGTTGTTCCAGTAGCTATGTGTTCAGCAAGGACTCCTCCACTTTCGGCTCCTTGACGTCCACGCCGCGTTCAAAGAATCGTCTGACTATGCACTGCGATCAAGCGAGTCCATACCGCACCTCGGTTCACATGAAGGAACACAACTATCTGGCCGCTATCGCTGGACAGCCCATTAGCAATGGAATCTCTAATCTCTCACTGAATTCGAATACGGACTCGGGGGTAAGTTGTAGTCGCATTAAATCCAGTGCAGCCTTGCTAACATGCATCCCCTTTTCAGCACTCCCAGGACACCACCACAATAGGGGCATATACGAATGGAGACACAGATGTGGCCCTACGAAATGGACACAATCGCTCAGTGAGCGTTACCCATGCACAGATCCTCTCCCGTTGCGATAAGTTCAGTTCTGTCGAAAGCAAGGACCTTCTTCTGGGCTTCCTTTTCATCATCAAACACCTGTCACAAGAGCAGATGGTTGGTTGGTGGCAAAACTGCAATGAATGCGAGACTCTGCAGTTTCTCTCCATACTGGATCTCTGCTTGCTGCAATTCAGATATGTGGGCAAGAAAAGTGTAGTGATATCTACAGAAACCCGTCAGGGGCGTTTGGCCAAGGCGAACACGCTTCCAGCTAGGACTCAACCACCCACAGGCTTGGAAAACGGCAGTCAGGAACAGCAGCCATCAAGTGGAACCTTGAATCAACCCCGGGAACATCTACTGGAGGATATAGATACTCTAGCTAGAAGTCAGTTGGCTCTTTATGAATCGAATTTGGCCACCGAAGTGGGCATGATTATTTTAGACTGCTTAGGGCTGTATGTCCTACAGTTCAGACAACTCTTGGCCGATAGTTTAGTCCTGCCAAAGGTGGCCAGAGTTTACCTGAGATTCCTGCAGCTGGGTCAATCAGAAAGGCTCTCCAAACACGTCTTTGCAGCACTGAGAGCTTTTATAAACAACTATGCAGTGGCCCTTTTCAAAGGAAATGCCATGTTATGTGGTCAAATGGTTTATGAGCTTCTCAAGGCCTGCGATAGTCGCCTAGTGGAAATTCGCCACGAATCTTGTGCTGTTTTATATCTTCTCATGCGCAGTAACTTTGAATTCAGTGGCCGAAAAGCCCTAACCCGCGTACACTTGCAAGTTATTATCTCAGTATCCCAGATGATTGGAAACGTAATTGGACTGAACAATGCTAGATTCCAAGAAAGCCTGTCAATCATCAACAGCTATGCGAATAGCGATAAGGCGATGAAGGGCACAGGCTTTCCTATGGAGGTCAAGGACTTAACGCGTCGAGTGCGTACTGTACTTATGGCCACTGCCCAAATGCAGGCTCATCATATGGATCCTGAAAGATTGCTGGAACTACAGTACTCCCTAGCCAATTCGTATGCCTCCACACCAGAACTTCGCCACACTTGGTTGGTGACCATGGCCAGAAATCACGAGCAGAATGGAAATCTGTCGGAGGCTGCCTGCTGCCATCTCCACATTGCTGCATTGATGTGCGAATATCTCCGATTAAGAGGAGGTTGCACTCTTAGTTGGTCGTCCACTGCATTCGGCAAGATATCTACGAATATACCCCTAGATGAGCAAGGCCTCAAACTGGATGCTGGTGCACAGGATTCCCAGTACACAGAACAAATGCTTTTGGAGCAGCTCAAGCTCTGTGCCGACTTCTTGGATCGCGCTGAAAGATTTGAGTGCCTTGGAGAGCTCTACAAACTCATCCTGCCAATGTACGAAAGGGATCGTAACTACCAGGACCAGGCACATTGCTATGGACACCTCACACAAGCCTACAACAAAGTAGTAGAGGTGAATCGGTCAGGCAAGAGAATGTTGGGCCGCTTTTACAGGGTTGTATTTTATGGATTTGTGAGTAATCTACTAATGTATTTCCCTTTGAATTATTATTAAACTTATGTGTTTTAGGTGTACTTTGAAGAAGATCATGCCATCGAGTATGTGTACAAGGAGCCCAAGCTAACATCGCTCAGCGAAATCTCTGAGCGACTGGCCAAGCAGTACAAGGAAAAGTTTGGCGCCGATGTAGTGAAGATGATCATGGACTCGTCACCGGTTAGTAAAGAGTATATATTTTCTAGCCCTAGTTCTACCCGTTTCGTTGAAGATTCGTTGAAAAGTATGTAACAGGCAGAAAGAATTCAATAGCCAATAGTCCGTCCGTATGAACGCCTCGATCTCAGGAACTACAAAAGCTTTAATGTTGAGACTAAGCATGCAGCTTCTAGAGACATAGACGCAGCGCAAGTTTATTTCCAAATTTAGACACGCCCACAAACCAAACATTTTTTCCCAATTTCTACAGATATTCCAAAAAATGTTGAAATTTCTCGTTTGCACTTAAACTAGCTGAGTAACGGGTATCTGATAGTCGGGGAGCTCGACTATAGCATTCTATCTTGTTTTAATTGTAATTTCAACGTAACGAAGGTGGTTGGATTGGAAAAACTAATATATTTGAAAGGGAAGCAACAAATCATATAACTTATTTGCAAATCATTTGAAGAGATATTCGTTATAGAGCAAATCCAAATTGCTGTCGCCGCGCATCAAACTCATGCGCTACAATGGAGTACAGAGTATTATATTAATTGAGAAATTAGACTTGCGAAGGGTTTACCCGCTTGACCTCGGATTGACGCATCATTGAGGCGTTTGTGCTTCTTGGCATCATTCGCTGCGAGTTGCCATTGGTTTGCTTTGGATTGGTCATGGCAATCCTACTGGCCGCGGACATTTTTCCGGTCTTGCAACTAAAGAAAAAAAAAGGAATAGAAAAATAAAGGCAGGGTCAAATCCAGTAATAGACTTATTGATATTTCTTTTTTCCAAGGTACTTTGCAGTAGATCTGGAAGCATTTAACGACTACAAAGTATAACTCACATATGATTTGACTGCGGTTTTTGTACGATTGCATTAGCTTTTCCTTGCTTGGTGACGCGACCTGTTGCAACTCCTTGCGTATTACCAGATGGGTGATAAACACATCCGGATTTTGCTTCAGTCAACCTATTTTTCTTGCTGGCAAGCCCGTTTGGGCACAAATCCATTTGGAGCTTTCGGGGGGCAGCCGATCCAGCTTGATCGTGGCCACCAACTGCAATAGTCCGAAAATGTGAAGCCGTGGGTGAGCCCTTTGCTGGCTGCATCATTGAGCGGACTGCTCTGTTGCTGTAGCCACTCTGTTGACCACTAGATCCTGCCCCGCGAGCCGAGCATTTGGCTTTGGCCGATTTGTACACCCGAGGAAAGGTGGCCGGCACACTAGTGGTTAGCACGGCCTTGGGCGGCGTGGTTGGTGCTAAATCCAACTGGAGGTCATCTACCATCACAGGTTCATTATTTTCTTGAGTCTCACTCAGCTCGTTCACCAGCTGCGATCCGTCAGAGTCTTCGTATCTAAAATTATAAAGGTTATGTTTTATGTTTTTTCTGATTCTCCTTAGATTATAGGCCTTTTTACAAAGGATTAATGGTAATCGAAAACTTTTGTATTCGCTGCATATCCTCAATTTAAGACCCACCTGTAAAGCTTTCCCCTCACATATTCATTCGAAATGGATGGGTGTTCACTTCCATCCGCGGACAGCTTACTACCGTTGGAATAAGACTCGTCCTCTGCGTCAGCCTTGGCCTCCACATGGGATTTCATCTCGTTATTGGACATGCAAACGGTTAGACTAGAGGACTGTGCCGAGGGTGGAGGGACCACTGTGGAAGCTCGGTTGACTTGGATTGGATCTCGGCTCACGATCAAGCCCAGCCTGTGGCACAGCTCCTTGAAGGCGTTGTGAGAAACCAAGTCTTGGTAGCAAGTTGATTCTGTGAAGTTGAAAAATTTCTCAAAAGCCTTTATGCAGTCGATTTGGTTTTCGATTTCCAGCTCCGTATAACTGCGATTGGAGCACAGAGTGCACCTGGGGCACACGGATCCATCGCCACCGTACTCATACTTCTCGTTCAAAAGGTCGTTGACCCGGATGAGGAATTGGGTGACAAGGACGGTCTCTGGTCTGTTGGCCAGCTTCCCCTGATCGCCTACCGCCAGTAGGAGGCACTGCTGACCGTGGTTTACTGGACCATTTCGGCCCAAAGGCTGCAGCTGATCGCGCCGTTTGGTGGTGAAAGTCATATTAAGACCATGTCCTCCTGGTAACACACCCACCACGATCTCTTCCAGAGGCATTTGTTCATCTCCCAGTTGACTGAGTAACTCCAAGATCTGGCGCTTGGGAAGAAAACCATTTTCCACACGATTCACATCATCACCAACGACCTCGGGATGCGGCAATGTTGTAGTTGAGGTCGACTCCGATTTGGTCACTGGGCTTGGAAGCACGGATTTCTGGCGAAAAGATGGCACGAATTCCACTGCGTTCGGATTTAGCGAGTATTCCCTCCTACATGGGATTGGTATCTGCATCTGTGGCATTTGGACCAATCCCAGGCCCATCGCACGGGCTGGGAACTCAAAGAGCTGCTCCATAAGGGAAGCAGACAATGTACTAGGGTTTAGTAACCGTATGTCCGACAATCTTATGAACTTGTAGTTTGTGCCAAAAGAACTGTGTACAAAATTTAGATACTTTTGCGGCTCTAGTGTACGGACTGTGGTTGTATAAAAATAACAAACAATTTAATAGTACCTAGTAAAGTTGTTGAGCTGTTTGAACCAAATCGGTTGAAGGTAGGAAGTGGATAAGTATTCTGAAACAAACATCATTTTGATATCTGCTGGAGTGACGACTTGATCTCGAAGTTACTTGTGTAGGTCCACCATCGATTGCATTCCAAAGAAAACAAGATCTTGTGAAGGTCAATAGAATTATATATTGTTATTAATATTAATAGACGATTTCTTAAGACTAACAATGCACTATAATTTATTTTAATTCATATTTTTCAGGTTAAAGTAGACGAACTAGATGCCAAACTCGCCTACATACAGGTCACCCATGTGATTCCTTTCTTCTCCAAAGACGAACTCGACCAAAGGCTAAATGAATTCGAGCAGAATCATGATGTGGACACTTTCATGTACGAGACTCCGTTCACCAAATCGGGAGCAGCCCGTGGCAGCGTAGAAGAGCAATGGAAGCGCAAGACAGTTATAAAAAGTATGAAAAACCGTCTCTGACCTTGTGTGCTCTATTTTAAATTGCCAATTATTGCAGCTCAATACTCCTTCCCATATGTTCTTAAACGTATACCGGTTAAGTCCCGTGAAATCATAGAACTGAGCCCCATTGAGGTGGCCATCGATGAAATGCAATCTAAGGTTTCAGAGCTGGAGGAGATCATTCTCCCACCAGCCGATGTGAAGAAGCTGCAGCTGCGTCTGCAGGGAAGTGTGGCGGTGACAGTAAATGCTGGTCCTTTGGCCTACGCTCATGCGTTTCTTGATGCGAAGGTGGTCAACAACTTCTCAATGGATCGCGTCGGAGATCTTAAAGATGTGTTTCGGTACGCAATTTCAGTAACTAGCCTTTTAGGCTTCAAAAATGCTCAAATCATGTTGTCTACCACTTCCTTGCAGCGACTTCATTGTGGTGTGCCACAAGGCCCTCTTCCTCAACGAGCGGATCATCAGCGCTGACCAGAAGGAGTACCATCATGTGCTGAAGGAGAACTACGAGAAGCTGTGCCAGGCGCTCAGTGAGTTGCTGGACGACGAGTCCTTCCAGCCGCTCGGCGACGACGCCGACAGCATAAACCAGCGCAACAGCATGGCTTTGTTCAATGCGATCAGTGGCGCCTCCCATAACTCAAGTACTGCTTAAGTCCAACAAAATCATAATAAGATATCAAAATTCGAAACTCAGTCACCCACACACAAGGCTAACCAGAAACCACACCGAATGTTGAAGTATTCAAATAACACGAGCCCGATTCGTGGGCGTAGAGATTGTAATGCGTTAGCGTAACCACACCGTAGTCGTAGCATAGGCTCTCTTGGTGTTCCTTTGTTTGATGTTGTCGGTGATTTTGAAATTGTCTTGCGGCAGGTAAAGCTCGATTTTGGGCTGAATGGTTTGCGCCTCGGCTGAGGGAATCCGCATGTGACTAACACCACAAAAACATAAGCAATCCAAATTTGGTGGCTTTTAATCCGAAACGAAACTAACCGTAAGCGCTATCTGACAAAATTCGGCTAATCTAACTAAATGTTCCGTGACCCTACCCATAGCTTTTCCATTTTGTATTAACGAGTTTGCAATTCTCCCTTTTTAGGACCGTATTTTGTTGATCAAAATACCAGCAACAGCACCCACCACCACAGTTCCCACATAAACACACAGAGCTCCACACACAATTCATAACCGATAACCGAACAATATATTCTGTGCTAAACGACCAGTTCCATAGGTTCCAGTTAACCAATATTACTTGTTAATTTGACTATACTTAAGCGACTAAGTTTTAAATTCCCAATTTATTGTTGTTAGATTTTTATGTTGCACGATTCGATACTTACAATTACAAAAATATATTTGTATATCTATATCTTAGCATAGTATGCATGAAGTCGAGTGGAGCCCGAAAATAGTTTTAAACTTGTATATTATTACTATAATTTTAACTCGAGTCCTTGATTTGATTTTATTACGCCATCGGCTAATAATGCACTTTACGCAACCTGTACCAGTTACTTTATTAGATAAAATCAGCTAACTTTGTGTCTTCTTCAAAACTCGAAACGGCTAAGGAATCGTTTGATAATTTAATTATTCCTAAACGTAAATGAAATTCATATTAGTGTTAAACTAGAGAAATAAGTTCCAGCGAGCAACAGAACTTACCAAAGTATTCAGATAAAGGAAAGCCCTATTTAACAGATCTACGGATATATATTTACATACATGCATTTTCTAGTGAAATCGTATAATGAACTAAATACAAATATACGCATTAAATGTTAAATCAAAGTCTTTTATTTATGGGTTCAATTTGTATTTATTAACAATTTTTAAAATTATTTAACAATTTTGTTTATGATGCGCGGATCGACACAGAAATGTTATTACAAATTTTGCTTATAGAACTTTTGCTGCGAACTAAACCGAACAAACGAATGTTACGCGTTTTGGGAGCCATCAATGTTGGATTGAACAGTCAATGAATTTGAATCAAACAATCAATCAATCAATCAACCAATCAATGTTCCGTTTAAGGCTACATAAATATGTAAATTTTAATCATCTCCTTCTGGCTTAGGCTAGTTAGAATTACAAGCGGACATTGGGATTCCGGGAGCGGACGAAGTTCAACAGCTCGTCGGAGTCCTCGCACACGAATGGCTTGATGTGATGGCAGGCCACGTCGTGCCACTTGATGCCATCGTTGTAGAAGTTGTTCAGGATGGACAGGCAGCTCTCGTCGTTGCCCTGCGCGGCCTCCCGGTTATCGGGCTGCGGCTGTTGGTAACCGCCCGTTGCAGACCAATCGCCGGTGTTCCTCTGCGAAGTGGGTCCAATCTTGGCCCCCGATCCCGACCAGAACCAGCCGTTCTCATTGGGGGGCTGCAGATCGGGCCTGTCGCAGCCGGCGAAGTTGCACTTCCTGCCCGAGGTCCAGATGTATCGCACATTGCCTCTGGAAATCCTCTGCTTCACAAAGTCATTCTCCTGCGGCGTCTCCAGAGAAACGGCATCCATGCAGTGCCTGCGGCAGATGTTCCTCGCATCCAGCCAATCCACCTCCAAGCTGCGGGTAGGAGCATGCTCCCAGCTGAAGAAGTACGAGTGGGACACGCCCCTGGCATCCCGATAGCTGGCATGGCGCACCCGGTTGGCGCAACTCCTCGGATCGGGAAGAGCCAGGCGACGTTGAGCCAGCGCCACGGTGGCACCAAAGGCCAGAAGCATCAGTGCGCGCAGCACAGACATGTTTGGATAGCTAAAATAAAAGTGGGAAAAAATTAATTTCACATTTCATGTTCCATATTTAAAAATGTTATTTGAACTTAATTTTACCACATTGCTGTTTTACAGAACTACTCAGACAAATCTAGAGTAGCCTAACCCCCAAGGTTCAGCCCAAAACTGATTTAGAATTTGAATCCGACTAGGCTTGGATCTGATTTGCCCCACCCGTGTCATTTCCGCTTGGATGAGTCGATGGGTTTTATGCAAAATCACTGATTGGAAATGCTTTGCATTGATTTTGATCAATTTTGACTGTATTTTGTGTATGGAATTTGTCGCTTACAATTGTCATTTTGCACAATTTGATTCCATTTCGTCTAATTAAGTAGTTTTCCATTTCGGCCAGGGGCCTTCAACCTGGTTTCTATTTCGTAACGTGAGAACAAGTGACTTTTATGTTACCCAGCAACAGTGTATGCAAATGGGCTTATTGTTTAATATCCATACATAAAAACCATGAAAATTGTATGCAAATTTTAATGGTTTATTGATGTGCGACTGGTGGAGATTATGAGCAACTCGGCAACTACTCGAAAGTACATCTTATATAAACTCGCTGGCTATTAGATCCGTATTTAAATAAGCTACCTAAGCTGAGGTTCTATTTTATTGGAATGGCTAGAACGCGTGCTAAACTTTGTGTGCTCTTCACAAAAACACTAATTAGCTTCAACTAATCCAAATAGACTGATAATTAGTTTAAATAAATTTAAATTGATTGAGCTCAAAAGAATGTCTACTTAGAATATGAGCGCAATAGCCAGTTAACCCTATACAAAAAATTCAAGATCTATCAATTATTAAAAATACCAAACAAATTGTTAGACGTACATAATAAAATTTCGAACAAGTGAATTTATTTAGAAGCACAGTGACCTTAAAATAAATTACCGAACCGTAACTGACCTAGCCCAAAAACTGACCTATCCAAGGCAAGAAACTCCCAGTCCCACTGTCCATACAGTCAGGAACGTACCTATATGGCCATAAGTCAGTGACATTCCAGTACTCCAGCACTGCTGGCTCAACTGAAGCCCAGAGTTTGTCCCATGCATACCAAACTAATAAATACTCGCAGTCAATGGAGAAAGTTGCCCGAGTTCGAGGCTAGAGGCTCATTGCCCGTCCACAGTCATGCATTACACATATTGCTGGGTCTTTCACATATTGCTGGGCCTGGTCAAAAATTGGAAACTCTTCCGCCTGATAAGACTGCTGCTTTGGCCTTTTGTCTTGGCCACGCGCAATTGCATGTTTTTCCCCCTTTTCACGGCTTGTAAAGTTTTGTAATTTAAATTTCCGTTGCCTCATTGGCTCTTCCTATTTAAAGCACTACCGATACTTCGGATACTTTTGGTTTATTTGGTATAGGACAGGTTGTTTCTCTAGCTAATTGCCGTGGGTAAGGGCATTGGCAGCTGCTGAAATATTTCCGAGCCGATTGTCTTCGCCTCTCTTTTTCTTTTTTTGGGGCACTTGCTCCCAAGTAGCTCTTATTTTGTCTCATTTTTTGTTTGGCTTTTAATTTTTCGACCTGGCGCTTTTGTATTTTGTGGCTTGTTTTCTTTTCTTATGCAATACTTGCTTTATTGAACATTTCAATGAAGGCACTTGGAAATAAAAATTGCGGTAGAAAGGCTTGTATTTTTGTTTTATTATTTATTGTTTTTTTGCGGCCAAATGACTAATGATGAGTATAGGCTCTCCAAATGGTTATTTATTTATATAATTCACCTGTGCGGCGTGCAAAAAGCAACCTTCAAAGCGTGCTCAATAACCAAATAAATATTACAAAATATCGCGG